AGACTTTACAGGGGACTGAGATTAAGGTTGGTGGACAAATTCATCTGGTGGAAAAAGTTTCAAAGCAGCCCAGTGTTCAGGCTATGGCATGGGTCCTGCTGATGGCTTCCTTTCAGATTTATAGTGAGAATCAAGAGCAAAAGAGCAGAGCTGAATAATTTGAAAAATTTTGCTGTTGCCAGAAAGGAATCATCTGTAAATTCTGAGCTGATGAGAACTTAATAACTGAAAAGATAGGCATTAAAAAAAGAAACCAAGTGCTTTGCATCAGGAGCATAGGGAAGATGTTTCAGGAGCTTGCCAGGTCCCGCCTTTCACAGGCTCAAGGGTATAAAACGATAAACACCTTTAAAAGACTTTGCCTTGAGAAGACAGCCCCAGGGCATCCTGTTCCTTTAGGGCCACAGAAGGAAATGCTTCCCTGAGTTCAGTCATCCAGACACTCAGAGACCTCTGCAGCCATAATCCAAGGGGGCCTCGCTACTGCTCCAGCTGGTGGTAGACCTTGGCACCATCCACATGGTGCTGGTTTTAAACACATGCAGAATGCAGAGTTGTGGTGTCAGGAAGGCCTCCATCCAGATTTCAGAAGGCCTGGGAGGCCAGGCGGTGCGCCCCTGAGTGGGCAGTGTGTGAAACTGAGTGTGAAGCCAGAAGTGCAGCGGAGACCCCAGGAAATTGGAGAAGCCAGGAGCACGGATCATTTGCTGAGGAAAGCTGCAGGCAGTGAGAAAAGCCACCCCAGGAGAGAAGCCACGAGGGCTGCAGCTGAAGCAGGGCTGCTCAAGCCCTCTGCAGCTTACATCTTGCCGCAACCTGCCCTGGGTGCTGGACATGGACTGACGGGATTTAATGTTTGCCCTGATGGGATGCAGTCTTGCTTTGGTCCCATTCCTTCCCAGTTCCCTATTCTTCCCTTTTGGAACAGGAATGTTTACCTGTGCCACTGTCTTTTGGAGGTGTTTAACTTTCTTTTTGAGTCTTCAGGGGCTCAGGGCCAAGAGTTTGCCTTGAATCTCAGAGGAGACTTTGTTTTTTTGTTTGTTTTTTTGTTTTTTTTTTTTGGTTTTTCTCTGGTACCGGGAACCGAACTCATGACCTTGCGCTTGCCAGGCAGGTGCTTTGCTGCTGAGCTAAATCCCCAGCCCCTCAGAGGAGACTTTAGACTTGGACTTTTCAGCACTGCTGGAAGTGTTAAGATTTTGCTGACTCTTAGAGATGGACTAAATGCATTTTGCATAATGAGACGGGCTTTGGGGGCCAGGGGCAGAATGTTATACTTTAGATCTAAAAATGTCCCCTAGAGCCTCACATGCGTGTAAGATGTTAGGGTCACGGGATTCCACAGGTGGGTTTTTTTTTTTTTTTTTTTTTTTGGTACCGGGAATCGAACTCAGGACCTTGTGCTTGCAAATCAGGCACTTGTGCCACTGAGCTATATCCCTGACCCCACAGGTGGGTTTAGAACCTGAATGTGGTGTTAGGAGGGGGCCTGGCTGGGGCGGGTACCACAGTGTGGCCTGGAAGGGTGCCTTTTTGTCCGGCCCTCCCTTCTCTCTCTGCTTTCTGGTTGCCCTGGGATGAGCGGCTTTGCTCTGCCAGGCCTTTCCCCGGTGTGTTTCTGCCCTGCCACCAGCCAGCTCTGGACTGAACTCTCCTCCTTACAGCTGTGGGTGTTGCATGTCTTGTCCCAGTGATGAAAATGATGAAGATGGGTGACGGATAAAGGCGGTGCCTTCGCACGGAGTAACATTATTCAGCCACTAAAAGGAGCGAGTTTCCAACACTCTCAGCCTCACAGAAGACGCCCATGGCCAGGCCGGGGAAGCCAGTGTCACAGACGCGTCAGGGACAATTTCACGGGTGTCACACTCTCAAAAAGATAAAAACAATGTAGCAACAAAGGCAGAGGAGCGGTTGGCAGGGATGGGGGTATAAGTGGAGGAAGCAGCTGAGGAAAGAGTAACCTGCAGAGGGAGATTTTTTTGGGGTACTGGAACTCTATTCTGATGATCTGGTTTTTATGCTAATTTACATCCATGAACATATTTGTGAAAATTCCTAGAATGGTTCACAGAAAAAGTGAGCATGGCACTGTTTAGTTTATTTTTTGTTTGCCTTTTTTTTTTTTTTCTTTTTCACCAGGAATTGAACTCAGGACCTTTGTGCTTGCCAGGCAGGTGCATGTGTCGCTGAGCTGTATTCTTGGCCCTTGCTTTTTTTTTTTTTTTT